TGTTTATTTCCCATGGTTTTTCCTCTCTTTTTCTTTCAAGGAAGCCCCTATTTGTTCCAAGAGCCCTACCTCTACCTCATGTACATATATAGGTAGGTGTACGTTTTCCTGCGCTCCTCAGGGGCCCATTTTTGGCCAGCGAAAAATGCAGGCATGGCCGAAAATAGTGATAAATAAAATCAGGTGCGATGGGATTGAGAAGTGAGGAAAGGGCGAGGAGGGAGTGGCGGCAGCGGCTGGACAGGAGCCCTGGCAGCAGCAGGACAGGAGCCCCGGCCGCCGACCCCGCTGCTGCCCCGCACCCCCGGCCCCCCCAGCCTGGCCAGCGCCACTTCCCAGCGCATGCGACGGGACCTGAGGTCTGCAAATCCTTTCCTATCGCTTCAGAAGAATCCTTCCCCACCCCCAATCCTGTGCAAGTTCCTCAGGGCATGGGGAAGAGCAATGAACTTTTGCACCTGATGTCCCCCCGCAGGTTCCCAGCCATTCCTCAGGCGCGCTCCCGGCTGCCTCAGCCGGCAGCGATCCTGTCCTTGCTCCGGCACGGGGACAAACCCTGAGCCCTTCCAGCGTCCGCTAGAGCCGCTCCCCTGCAAGGGTTAAACCGGGGAATGGAGCAGGTACCGTGCCTGCTGGAAACATGAATAAAATGTGATGAATAAGCAGTGGAGCGGTGGCTCTGGAAGCGGTGCTGCGGTGCGCGCTGCGATCAGCGCCGAGCGCGGTGGCTGGGAATGAACGTGGGCAGCAAGCTGGCGTTTCCTAATCCCTTCGAGTTTAGAAAGTACAGCCAGCCCCGTTGGGGAACAAGGGGAAGCAAAACTTTTTTCAATTTATCTTCTTTTCTTTTTATTTCTCCCTGTTGTTTTTAGTGTCCTTCCTGTTGGAAGCACGCCACCTGAACGCGAAATCAAACCTACTCACCGGGTGAAATTGCAGGAGGAGAAGCGGCTGTGAATGAAACGCATCCCGGCTCCGAGCGTATAGTCCATGATCTGCGGCTTCAAGCTAGAGGAAGGCTGAGCAGGGTGGGGGGACTTTGGGAACCAGCAGCGGTTCTGTGTGTGTGACAACCCATTTACACCGTGCGTGCCTGTCTGTGTGTGTGTGTGTGTGTAGGGCAGAGAGAGGCTCCAAACCCGAAAGGGGGGAAAGAGGGAGGGGAGAAGGAGGAGGGGAGAGGGAAGCAAACCCGAATAGCAAGAGGAGTTGCGAAGAGGGA